ACTTTTCTTAAGAGTTGCCACCTGGTAAAAAAGTTTAATTAAATTAATACGCGGAAACGTCTGAACGGATTTGCATGAAATTTTGCAAGCAGATAGCTTATGACCTACAGTGGAAAATAGGCGAATTTTTTGGAAGAGTTGCCACCTGTTAAAAAATTAATTAAATTAATACGCAGAAACGACTGAACGGATTTACATGAAATTTGGCACAGAGATAGCCTACCTACGTTGGAAAACAGGTTACTATTTTAGGAGTTGCCACCTATTAGAAAATTTTAATTAAAGTAATACGCGGAAATGACTGAACTGATTTGCATTAAAGTTTGCACACAGATAGCTTATGACCTAGATTACTTTTTTAAGAACTACCACCTGTTTAAAAATGAAATTTTGCTCACAGATGGTTTATTACCTGGATTGAAAAATAACCTACTTCCTTAACCGGTCTCCCAATCAGAACGAACTTTGGTACACGTTAGATGGCGTTATACTGAAAGTGATTCCGATAACTCAAGTTTCCTTCCATACAAATTGGAATTTTACATACATGTCTTTGGAAGTATTTGTGGGAGAAAACTGGAACTTGGTATTGAGATATGTATGTGAAATCAATGTTGGCATTAATCAATTGATTTTTTAATCAATTAGTTAATTCGATTGAATTCAATGAATTTTTCAATTCAATTTTTTGGAAGAGTTGCCACCTGTTAAAAAAATTAATTAAATTAATACGCAGAAACGACTGAACGGATTTGCATGAAATTTGCCACAGAGATAGCTTATGACCTACGTTGGAAAACAAGCTACTATTTTAGGAGTTGCCACCTATTAGAAAATTTTAATTAAAGTAACACGCGGAATTGAGATATGTATGTGAAATGTTGGCATTAATCGACTGATTTTTTAATCAATTAGTTAATTCGATTGAATTCAATCTGCTTACAGTTAATAATGATTAATTTTAATCTGATTAAACAGTTAACAGTTAAACAGTTAACCGCGATTAAAAAAATTAAGTTTTTATCATTAACTCTTAATTTGATCAAGTAGGTTTGGTGATTAATTAATTTGGTGTGCATTTTTATTAAGCTCTATACCAACAAACGTTTTACATACTAGGTTTGTAAAAGTTCCCAGTTTATGTATTACTAATAACAATAATTATAATTGTTTTTTATATTATGTGCTTTTTATAAGCGTAAAATACAAAATAATTACTATAACTGGTGTTTGGTTTCAAATTCGGACAAACTAGACAACTTAATCAGATTTTATTTTTAAATGGATTGACGATTAATGATTAAAATTAATTAATCGTAATCGCAGAAACCGATTAACGACTAAAATAATTTAATCATTAATCGTACAGTTGATAACGAATAATTAATTTTAATCGTCAAACGCGATTAACATTTTAATCGTTGGTCAGATTAACATTTTGCCAACACTGTGTGAAATCATATTCATACTCACAAGAAAAATGGACGTTTTTGGAAAAGAGGCGCAGCACCTCCCATACTGATTGAAAGTTTCAAGCTTGGTGTGGAAATACATATGTATGTACGTATGTGAAACTAATACCATACTCATGGAGAAAAATGAGAGTTATTGGAAAAGGTGGTGTGGCAACTCCCATGCAAATTGATTTTTCTATGCTGCATATCT